CATTCAGCACGTGAGTGCAAATTTAAGAGTGAAAAGTGTCATGTTTGTGCAAAAATAGGACACATTGCACGTGCTTGCAGGAATAAAAAATTCAGTCAGCAAACTCAGTATTTGGAAACTGAGGATGAATGCTCAAGTAGGAATGATGAAGCTGAACTTTTTGGAGTTTATTCAATGTACTCCATCACCTCCAGTGAGAAGGGATACACAGTGGATGTTGCGCTTGGGAGCAAGAACACCACCATGCTGCTGGATACAGGATCAGCAGTGTCGGTAGTATCAGACAAGTATTATCAGATGCATCTCACTCATTTCCCTATAAAACCAGCCAGTGGGCTAAAGCTCAAGTCCTACTCAGGCCAACACATTGCTGTGCGTGGATATATTATGTTACCAGTACAGTATGGGACTCAAAACATCACCCTACCACTGATCGTTGTTCAGGGAGACAGACCAGCTCTGATTGGACGAAACTGGTTAAAGAAACTACAGCTGAACTGGAAACAGATTTTCACAGTACACAAGGTACTGGTGCAGAAAGAAGCAAAGCCAGGAGTACTAGAAGTGATTCAGCGCCATCAGGCAGTGTTTTCGGATGACCAAGGCTGCATAAAGGGATTTAAAGCTAGAATCCACACTAAACCAAACACCACACCAATTTTCTGTAAAGCTCGCCCAGTTCCTTATGCACTAAGAAGCTGAAAACTACATATTATCATCAGAATTCAATATTTTTAGACATTGAATTTATGACACTGAATTTTTATCCTCCAAATTTCCCTGCAAAAATATTCACCTGCAAAAAATTCACCTGCAAAAAATTCACCTGAAAAAATTCACCTGAAAAAAATTCACCTGCAAAATCCTGAAAAAATTCACCTGCAAAAATTCACCTGCAAAAATTCACCTGCAAAAATTCACCTGCAAAAATTCACCTGAAAAAAATTCACCTGCAAAAATTCACCTGAAAAAAATTCACCTGCAAAAATTCGCCTGCAAAAATTCAACTGCAAAAGTGATGAACTTTAATGACCCAAGCCAGAGCAATCAGCACCAGATCGAGTCGAGTGGCTCTCAGCCAATTAAATTACGCTGTTTGATCACATGACACCGTTAGCCAGCAGTGTGTCTCCTAAAAGAGAGCTGTTTAAAGGTGAGTGATTAAGTTTTTCTCCTAAATAGAGATCATTACAGAACGCCTAGTCCTACTTAAAATCCCATTTATTTTTTTTATTTTTTATCATCTACTCGAACTAAGGAAAACGTTTGACTAACTCAAAGACAATTTCCACGCCTCCCTGCCTGTCTGCAGAGGCAGTTTTGAATTTAGGAGCGCCAAGATGGCAGCGGCAAACCCTGGCGGCTCTCCGGTGAGTATATATATTTTTTATCTTCAAGTTTGTCTTTTGAAACCTTAATTTTATTTAAATCCGTTGCTCACGTATAAAGTACACAGACGGGGTCTTTGCTCAACTCGTCTGAGGCGTGTCTCACTAAGCGCTACATGCTAGCATCCTGCTAACCGAGCTACCCTTTACATGCTGTGCTTTAGAAAATAGGATACTCGTTAAAAAATACTCCGCAGATATTGATAGATAGACGAACACTGCAAATATAATGTTGGAAACGAGAACGGCCTTTGGTGAAGGGGTAAAATACACCATGAATAAAGCCATAGAGTGAATGGCTGCCATGGTTGCAGAACAGCCTGATTTAATGACAAGAATGGGGAAGAGTGAGGTGAAGTGAACCACAGCCACAAAACACGGTCAGACAAGGCGGCAAAAGGGCAGTGATCTGTCCGTCAGTATGAAGTTGGTGTGTGCTTTGGTGAACAAAAACTCCAGACTGGTAGCAGGAAGATGGGAGACTCGTGTTTCACTGGAATAGTGGTGAATTAAAACATCCTTTGTTGGGGACATTTCGGTGTAAATGCATCCATACAGGCAAGACAGAGGCAGACTAGACAGTGAAGAAAACAAGGCAAACATTAGAAATATAAAAACGGAAATATAGGATGAGTCGGGGATGAGTTCCTGCCCCAAGTGGAGGAGTTCAAGTATCTCGGGGTCTTGTTCGCGAGTGATGGGAGAAGGGAGCCGGAGATCGACAGACGGATTGGGGCTGCAGCTGCAGTAATGCGGACGCTGCACCGGTCCGTCGTGGTGAAGAGGGAGCTGAGTGTAAAAGCGAAGCTCTCAATTTACCGGTCGATCTACGTCCCTACCCTCACCTATGGCCACGAGCTGTGGGTAGTGACCGAAAGAACGAGATCGCGGATACAAGCGGCAGAAATGAGCTTCCTCCGAAGGGTGGCTGGCCTCTCCCTTAGAGATAGGGTGAGAAGTTCGGCCATCCGGGAGGGGCTCAGAGTAGAGCAGCTGCTGCTCCACATTGAAAGGAGCCAGCTGAGGTGGTTCGGGCATCTGACAAGGATGCCCCCTGGGCGCCTCCTGGGTGAGGTGTTCCAGGCATGTCCCACCGGGAGGAGGCCCCGGGGCAGACCCAGGACACGCTGGAGAGATTATATCTCTCGGCTGGCCTGGGAACGCCTTGGTATTCCCCCGGATAAGCTGGAGGAGGTGGCTGGGGAGAGGGAGGTCTGGGCCTCTTTGCTTAGGCTGCTGCCCCCGCGACCCGGCCTCGGATAAAGCGGATGAAGATGGATGGATGGAAATATAGGATTAATATAACATACAATTAGGGAAAATGTAAGGAACACAATGTAAATGATATTGTAAAGTCATTAAAACAGCATACTCTGATTAAAAGAAACACATAATTGGGTAGGATAATAATGTTAAAAAACATGTACAAGATGGGTATGTATACTTGTAGCCAGAATACTATAAAGTTGTAGCATGCCAGACCATCTTGATTGAATGTAACTTCGCTCCACACAAGTTTTATGGTAGACATATTCATATTGGTATCTAATAAATGATTAATTCTTAGATTTTATCGAACGTTAATTTATAAATTGTTTCTGTCTTTATGTGTTTGTTTCAGATTATGCAAGATGAAATTATTCAGTCAGCAAGACACTTGCTGCAGTTGCTGACATCATCCAACTGAACTGCTGCTGTGATGAATCAGAATACAAGGTTTACTTTAGCAAGACTTATGAGTTAATGCTACATTTAACTAAATTGTTATATATTTTGTGTCCAATATTGTCTCCATATGATTTTGTTTTTTGCAACATCTTGCAGAGAACAGAGTCAAGGTACCAGCTTGGTCAACCCTAAAAGACCATCTGTTCAATGACCAGGTGAAAAAGTCATAAACTAAACACTCTGCATGAGCATGGAATTTAGGATGCAACTTTATATCTTACCTGCTCTACACTCAGGGCTTGAATTACAACAACAGTCAATCACATAAAAAATATACTTTTGGTAGTTCTGTGTCTCTGTCTCTCTCCTCCAAACCCAGATGGCTGCTGGTACTGAACCGGGTTCTGGTTCTGCTGGAGGTTTCTTCTTGTTAAAGGGGAGTTTTTCCTCTGCACTGTCACTTCATGCTGCTCAGTGTGAGGGATTGTTGAGGTTGAGTCCATATGTCCTGCGAACAACTGCTGGGCAATGACACCATGCAATCTTCTGGGATTCCTTGGATAGAAAACCTGTGAACTGCACTTGTCCTTGGTCTTCACAGCTCACCTTTTTACTGTTTATTGAATCAAAATGCTCCAGTGACATGGATTCTACATTGTAACTGATGTGATGTTCTATAAAGTGGTTTTAATAAAAAAGGCAAAAATTAGTTTGTTTCTTTATTCAATTTTTGAACAGTGATACTCATTCAGTAAATGCAAATTATTTACATGGCAGTGCACTATAGGCATAAATCTAGACCCCTAGATAAAACATGATGGCATTATAGCAGTGACAACTCCTCCACAGTAGCAGGTGGGATTTCTTTTTTGAGGACGGCTCCTTTTACCTGTCACTACAGATGGTCTGTTTATGTTTTGATCAAGAGCCTTTTTTTGGGCAGCTGAAGAGGAGAAGTCTATCTTGGTCACATTACCCAGCAAAACCCAGTATGCAGGTTCATCTGTAACAGTCCTTGTGCCACAGATCAACACTGTTGCTTCTACATTAAACAGAAGAGCAGTGACGTGGGTGCAGGTCTCCGTGACTCCGGCCTTACAGCTGCAGTGGGCGGCTTCAACCTTCCCTGTGATGCTCACAGTGACCCATGGCTGCAATGCTGGTTCATTCAGTCTTTGAGAGTGCAGTACCTGAAACACACACAAAGTTCTTGTCTTTAAATGTTTTATCTACTTAATCATTAATGTAACAGTGTTTAGAAAGTTAGCACATACATGTAATTTTTCATTTCTTTATGTGTCCATCTATAGAACGCTGCATGTTATATTCTAAATCTGCCTGTTCTGTCAGAAACCTGCCTGCAGAAAATGAACCTAAAGTATGTAATGCAAGGATGTCATCACTTTCAAGATGGAGAAAGCATAAAGTGACAATTATGAATCACTTAATATGATAAGGAGATTCTGCAGGTCATTAATCAATGTATAAAATTAAAATAAAATGTATTTTTAGTGACACAAGATACAAATATGGAAGCAAGATGTATAATCGCTCAGTTTGGGGAAATTGTGGGTAGCCTGCAAGGGCCTCAACTTCTCCATACCCACAATGTGCAACAAATGGGCACAGCTGATCTTCAACAGTGGAACATCGGCCAGTTACTTCCAACTTTAACGCAGCTTGTAGTCTTGGAGAGCAGCACACCAAAACTGCATGCACAACTTCTGCTAACAGTGGAAACGGATTAAGAAATCCATGCAAACAGATTCATAAACCGAAAGAATATTATTTTACAGGATTAATGATCATATCAGCCGCTGGCTGATCACAAACCCTGAGGGTGTATACGAGAAGCAGAAGAAGCAGAGGGAATATCCCGTTTAAGTTTAGATAGTATTTGTAAAGATATTGACCATATCCTTTTCTGAAAGTGTGGATATAATGGATGGGGTAAGGTACTGACATGCTACAACTTTATAGTTGTTAAATTCTGGCTACAAGTATACATACCCATCTTGTACATGTTTTTTTTTTATTATATATTATTATTATTATTATTATATCCTACCCAATTATGTTTCTTTTAATCAGAGTATGCTGTTTTAATGACTTTACAATATCATTTACATTGTGTTCCTTACATTTTCCCTAATTGTATGTTATATTAATCCTATATTTCCATCCATCCATCTTCATCCGCTTTATCCGAGGCCGGGTCGCGGGGGCAGCAGCCTAAGCAAAGAGGCCCAGACCTCCCTCTCCCCAGCCACCTCCTCCAGCTTATCCGGGGGAACACCAAGGCGTTCCCAGGCCAGCCGAGAGATATAATCTCTCCAGCGTGTCCTGGGTCTGCCCCGGGGCCTCCTCCCGGTGGGACATGCCTGGAACACCTCACCCAGGAGGCGCCCAGGGGGCATCCTTGTCAGATGCCCGAACCACCTCAGCTGGCTCCTTTCGATGTGGAGCAGCAGCTGCTCTACTCTGAGCCCCTCCCGGATGGCCGAACTTCTCACCCTATCTCTAAGGGAGAGGCCAGCCACCCTTCGGAGGAAGCTCATTTCTGCCGCTTGTATCCGCGATCTCGTTCTTTCGGTCACTACCCACAGCTCGTGGCCATAGGTGAGGGTAGGGACGTAGATCGACCGGTAAATTGAGAGCTTCGCTTTTACACTCAGCTCCCTCTTCACCACGACGGACCGGTGCAGCGTCCGCATTACTGCAGCTGCAGCCCCAATCCGTCTGTCGATCTCCGGCTCCCTTCTCCCATCACTCGCGAACAAGACCCCGAGATACTTGAACTCCTCCACTTGGGGCAGGAACTCATCCCCGACTCATCCTATATTTCCGTTTTTATATTTCTAATGTTTGCCTTGTTTTCTTCACTGTCTAGTCTGCCTCTGTCTTGCCTGTATGGATGCATTTACACCGAAATGTCCCCAACAAAGGATGTTTTAATTCACCACTATTCCAGTGAAACACGAGTCTCCCATCTTCCTGCTACCAGTCTGGAGTTTTTGTTCACCAAAGCACACACCAACTTCATACTGACGGACAGATCACTGCCCTTTTGCCGCCTTGTCTGACCGTGTTTTGTGGCTGTGGTTCACTTCACCTCACTCTTCCCCATTCTTGTCATTAAATCAGGCTGTTCTGCAACCATGGCAGCCATTCACTCTATGGCTTTATTCATGGTGTATTTTACCCCTTCACCAAAGGCCGTTCTCGTTTCCAACATTATATTTGCAGTGTTCGTCTATCTATCAATATCTGCGGAGTATTTTTTTAACGAGTATCCTATTTTCTAAAGCACAGCATGTAAAGGGTAGCTCGGTTAGCAGGATGCTAGCATGTAGCGCTTAGTGAGACACGCCTCAGACGAGTTGAGCAAAGACCCCGTCTGTGTACTTTATACGTGAGCAACGGATTTAAATAAAATTAAGGTTTCAAAAGACAAACTTGAAGATAAAAATATATATATACTCACCGGAGAGCCGCCAGGGTTTGCCGCTGCCATCTTGGCGCTCCTAAATTCAAAACTGCCTCTGCAGTCAGGCAGGGGAGGCGTGGAAATTGTCTTTGAGTTAGTCAAACGTTTTCCTTAGTTCGAGTAGATGATAAAAAATAAAAAATAAATGGGATTTTAAGTAGGACTAGGCGTTCTGTAATGATCTCTATTTAGGAGAAAAACTTAATCACTCACCTTTAAACAGCTCTCTTTTAGGAGACACACTGCTGGCTAACGGTGTCATGTGATCAAACAGCGTAATTTAATTGGCTGAGAGCCACTCGACTCGATCTGGTGCTGATTGCTCTGGCTTGGGTCATTAAAGTTCATCACTTTTGCAGTTGAATTTTTGCAGGCGAATTTTTGCAGGTGAATTTTTTTCAGGTGAATTTTTTGCAGATGAATTTTTTTCAGGTGAATTTTTTGCAGGTGAATTTTTTTCAGGTGATTTTTTCAGGTGAATTTTTTTGCAGGTAATTTTTTTAGAAGTGAAGAGTTAATAATGGAAGTAATGGCTACATTTGTTCATTGTTCGTAAGGGCCACAGAATATTTCTTTTTGGTGGGGGCAGTGAAATACATTCTTTAAAGGGTTGCTTACTTCAATTACAAATCTAAAAGGGGAGGAATGTAATAGAGTGAATTGTTGCCCCCCAGTGGTAAAATACAGAAGTGCCTGTTACAGGGCTAGTTCTTGGTTGACCAATATATAACAACAAAAAAGAGTAGTTTTCTGCACCGCTAAGAAACAACAAGTTAGTGTGTGATGTCCTGCTGTTCAATAAAGGCACCTATCCACGTCCTTCTGTCCTGATCCTTTTAAGAGCCTAATCCAGAATATCACACCATCATTATTTGAGTCCCCCCCAGAAGTTGTTGCAAGACAAAGACATCAGTATTTCATAGTAGCAGAAGAATGTAATTGAATGTACAAAGTGTCCACTCATTAAGAAGGGCATCTAAACAGCTGCTTTAACCTTTTATAAGGTTCTAGAAACAGTAAATACAAAGTCATCAGGCTACAAATGTAAGGACAGGTGGTGCAACGGTTCCCTGGCAGACCACTGGTTAATTTTCGGCCGCTGAACTTTCTTTTGTTGGGCACAATGGTATCACTGAACTCACCATAAACTTTCGTTGGGATTTTCTTAGGTGAACAGAAAAGGGAGGGTTGGCTTGGTGTGTGGTTTTGGGTGCTGTAGGTGTGCAGAAAGAAACTGTGGTTTTCCTTTGAGATGACCTGGATTAAATTTAAAAAACGTGCTAAAGAAAGGTTGTTCTTGTGTCTTTATGATTCCTAGGGCACGCAAACCACATCTTTAACCTTTTATAGGGTTCTATAAACAAGAAATGCTAAATGCCCCAGCAACTCATCCTAGGTGTTATGAACCGAGTGGGTCTGGGTTTTCGTTTTCTTCTTCCCTTTTCCCTTCTCTCTCTCTTCTTCTCTGTCTCTCTCTGGGTCAGCCCTTCCTCACCCATTGATATATTGAATCATCAGGCTACAAGTAAGACTCTTAAGCCTCTTTTCCATTAGTACCTACTTGGACTCATCATGGTTCGCCATGGTTTTCAGGGTTTTCCATTAGGTCATAGTACCTGGTACCAGGTACGTTTTAGTACCTGCTTGTCCCGGGTGCCAAGCGATCCAAGCAGGTAGTAAAATGTGAAGTTGTCACACGGCATGCCACCGATTTGCTGGTCGAGCCAGTTGACGAGTCATGAAAGTGTCTCATTCACAAAAATTAAAACCACCATTTTTGAAACCCAACAATGGGGCAAATGGTTGCAAAACCCCACTGTGGTCCCCGAGACTGACGAAAAGCCACAGACCAAGCAGCAGGTATATTCTTGCCTCACTGTCCACCATTGTTGTAGCACTCATGTTGCATATTAATCACATCACACCCAGACCCGTTGCTATGATGGCAAACACGCACACTGGGTTTTAATGGAAAACCAGTCGATCTGAGTTGAGTCGTGTTGATCCACGGCAAGTCGATCCGAGTAGGTTCAAAAGGAAAAGGGGCTTTAGGTCGCCCCAGTTAGCAACCTGTCTGAAGACTTCACAATCAAAGATCACACATAGATTTAGCTGTAGTTTGGGAACAACTCCACTCCACATCACCACCTGAACTTCCTAAACATCTGTGATCCACACTCAGCCTGCCTGCTCCCAGTTTCTTAAAAACACTTTGCCACAATAAAGATCAATACAGTTCAACTTAAAACACGTTGTTGAGTCTGGTTTGTGGGTCCTTCCAGTTCCTGAGGAGGCCTTGATGAATCACCACCTTGTGATGGTGCAGGGGGGTGACATATGTTGACCAGCGCAATTTGGTGGAACGATATGGTCATGTGCTTTGAGGAGTGGTTAGTGGCGGAAGTTGGAGGCCTTAGTGGTTTTAAAAAGTGTCCATAAATAAACTTTTTGGTCTGTGATAAATGACAAA